GGATCCCTCCATAACCTACGTACCACACACTCCCACCGTTGTAACTTCACATTTCACTCTTTACTAATCTTATCAGTTGTAATCCCATCGACTTACATCTACTAGTAATTATCAGATTACCTATGACCCCTTTAACTAACGTTACACGGGCGGAGGATAGGAATTAGTGGACTGCATTACAATCAGACGGACAGACACAGAAGCGGTTTGTCAATGACTTGGCAGCGTAATCCTTGCCCAAAAGAGTTCATAAGATCCATGCAATGTGCGAGTAATGATCAGAGATATTCAGTTTTCAATGGTTTGACGCTTCCACCTCCCGCCATAGAAGTTCTGAAGACTTCTTTAATTGCAGCTTGTAAGAAAATCTCTGCTCTCTGATGAAATATCCTTTGAAAAGCCGGTGGACATCCATCAACAACAAAAAGAAGTGCCAACGAAGCCGAAACAATCATTACGAGAACACTCTCTGACACTGCAGCCTACTATGTCAAGTGTAAGTGATACTCAGAGATTTGGTAGTGTGTATACAGTATGTACACATGTAACTGGCACGACTTACTTTGCCTGTCTACCCGTTTATAACATCGCACACTATTCCGAAGCCAACAGCTCTCCAAAAGAAAATGAGGCCAACAAAAATAGATTTTGTCATGAGATACTCTACCAGTTCCGACAAGAAATGCCGGAACAGAGCGAGCAAAGAAATCAGGTAACAGATAACAAAAACCTGAGGAAGGGTGGCCAAAGTCCAATATTTTAGCGAGAGGAGAGAAATTAGATGAGGTACCAGCAAATTAAAGGCCAAAGCCACCATGGTGCTGGAAACGGCCGAGGACTACACAATAGTCCAGACTTTCTTTCGAAATGCCCCGCAAGTTTCCGAGTTTAAAGGCGCATTTACGGTAAAAAAAAAGTTGCTGAGATTCTACAAGGAATGAACCTGTGATCCCAAAGAAAGCACAAGGGAAGCTGTTGGATAGGAAAACGACCTAGATAGGGCGCAATAAGACTTCAATACTGGCTATGCTGATGCATACACCAGTGGCGGACGGACGAGTTTATATGGCATGTGGTGACTGTAAAAGTCCTACGGTGCGCACCGGGACGCACACCTTCAACGCAGGCAGCTTACTGTAGCCAGCTTTACACAATGGCCCTTACATTAGAAAAGTTCGTCCAAATACCTCTTCTAGGTAACTTTTGTTGCACATTCTCGTCCATCTCCTAATTAGGCGACTTTCTAAAAGTCTTATATTTACATATATTCCTCCGAATCCGACGATTTCTGAATTTTCCGGCCAGTTTTGCACTACTCTTACTTCGAATATTCGTCTCAAACTATGCACCCAAAAAATATCGTGAACCGTGCCTTTAAAGGCACCGTTCACAAAAGAGTTGGGGTACCCTTTTTTGACGGGAATTGATAGAACTACTCTAGAATATAGCGATTGCCATTTGCCAACCAGCTTATCGACTTTTCACCAACTTCGCTCCGATGCGAATGTGGTGAAGGACAATTAGAACTCGTAGTCAGCCTAGCGAGGGGCGGAGGTCTCCCGTCCCCCACTGTTCCTGCCCCTATTGTGCCCTATCCAGCCGTTTTTCGACCTCATTCCTGCACAAATGGTATCAGAGGGGGCTTCGAATTCAAACCATGTGCAAATCTCCGAAACCACTTTTTCGTGAACAGTGCCTTTAATCAACAAGGAAGGGGAAGCCGGATATGTCAACCACAAACAAACTGGGTAGTATCCTCATATATAATAGCGAAACCTTGAAAACTTGAAGGCCATCCTGGGAAAAGTGTGCCAAGGCGAAAGTTTCAGCAAATTTTCTTTTCTGATGCCAAGAGAAAGAAACGAGCACCCTTCTATCTGCGATCCTTCTTGCAACCCCTCCCACTTTCAACACCAACAAAGTCGTCCGACGTCCGAAAGTTGCTGCGAACCAAACAAACTATGCTATTGAACAAATGTAGTGTTCAATGAACGTCTAAGGAGATTCAGGAACGAGCTGAAGAGCAACAAACCACAGCGGTGATGGCAATTGTCAGGACCGATAAAACGATGCAGAGCATAGAAAGGTGATATAACAGTCATAGGTGTCGTCTAACTATTCACATTGTATTCTGACTCTATACATATCTAAATAATATTGCTAAAGAATGAAAATGAAACTTTCGAACAACCACGCATCAGCGTGTCGCTAGAGCCTACTGTTGGTCAATTATCTGGTGTTCTTTTCTAAAAAATTTCTCGTGGTTTTGGAGATGGTAAAGGGAGTAAACGCTCCTGTAATGCTACCTGTATCCCTTCAGAATTTTGTATACTCTCAGGCAGAATATTTACCCAAACATCAAAGCGGCTACAAAATCAAATTCAAGCAAATGGTCGCGGGTAGTCGAACTGGTTAGACGCATTGGACCTCTTCGCTACTTCGTGACTTGTTTCAATTAAAAGTTTTCTTTTAACAAATAACTGAGTATAGTCGCTCCTACCGTTGCCGGACTTCAGGAGTGATTTCACCCCGTCCAAGTCCTCCAAAACACTCACGTGCTGTTTTATCTGGTAGAGCATTGCCTCCGTAGATATCGCACGTCTTTGTCATTTGAGCTTGAGCCGGTAGAAGAAAAGCATTAGGTGTCGGGGATGCTCTCGATGGTGCTCCTCGTTCACAACGACCTACACAAACAGAACTTGAGAAATCTTAACTTATGTACATCAAACATGAATACCGAGGAACGATTACCTTCTCAAAAAATATTTAGTAGCTATGTTCTATTCCCGACGAATCAGAATGTTTCCATGCTGCTTCAATTCGATCTTCCTTATCGCAAGCTGAAAGAAGAGCACTTGCGATCTTAATTGTTTCATTCAAAATGCTCCGCATAATATGAAGAATAACGAAGAATTACTGAAAGGGTGCAACAGTAAACAACAGCAAATGCTACTGTGAGTAAACTATGCGAAAAACTTCAAAACGAACGACAACGAAGGAACGACGAACACATGGCATCACTGTGAATTGAGCAATCTATTACTCTTTCCAGAAACTTGCCGGAATGGAACTTTATATTGAGAAAATTAATTAAACGGCGAAAATTTTGCGAAAAATCACGAGCATTTGACTTGGGAGTTCAAAACGAAAGGGATCAGGCAAAAAAAAAATCGCAAAAACTAATTGGGTTCTCAAAGTAGATTTTTTTTTTGAGATGTCCTGCTGTTTATAGACGAAGACGCTTCCTGTAACTCTGTGAAGAGCACATGCATCTTAAAATTAGGAGGAAGGTCTCGGTGAAAATGTAGTTGGTCGGGGGCAACGCTCTTCTCCAGTACTGAGTGCCAGAAGGAGAGCAACTTGACTTATACTTACCAGTTAAAGACGTTTCTTACTGGTTAGTACCAGGGAAGATAAGATGATTACCTCGTTTTAAAGCTAGGTTGGGGTAAGAGGTGAACAGTCATCTGACTTACCAACCCGGTGTTTCTTCCCTTCTGGGGATCATTCGAATAAAAACTGGATTCTCCCGCTAAGGAAAGTTCCTAAACACTACTATGGGTTCCCAAAGTCGGCTACCCCTTCTTCTGTGCGCTCTGGCGCTCCATGTTGGAGAAGAGCGATGCCCCTCTCAACCCCACTAATGCAGAAACTGACGCTACTGGAGTCAGATTGAAAAGGAAGCGAATTTACCAAACGTGCTACGGTAGAGTAGAGAGCTTAGGCTGCTTTCATAGTCCACGACCAGTCGGGCGATCGGTCGCTAGCGACCGGGGACCGGTCGCGGGACCAGTGGTGCGACCAGTCGCTCGCGGGATTGGTCCACGACCGGTCCCGCGACCAGTCGCCGGTCGTGGACCAATCCCGTAGTCGATTGGTCCACGACCGGCGACTATGAAAGATGCTTTATGGATAAAGGGTTACAATCCAAGCTAGATACTCGTGGAGATCGAAAGATGCTGCTAGCAATTCATGACTAGTGATTTCATTGAATTCCTATTTAACAATGCCCTGACACCTTTGTGGTGTCACGGAACTCTAGGAAACTCATATCGCCGCATAATCCAACAGCCCACTCAACACTTTTACGAAGTTAAAGGTGGGAATGTGTGGCGCAGCTACGGATTTGGTGCTGAAGCCCTGCAGAATATTTTACCAGCAGTCCCGAAAAGATACAAGAATGAGTATCTATTTTGGTGACAGTAAATAAATCAATTGATGATAGAAATTTAACTTTCAGTGGGCATTGAGGTGTTAGCCGAATAGGACCAGGTATTCGGCTTGATAGTCGAATCATTAGGGGGTGAAAATTCTGCACTAAAAGATAAGTACTCCACCATCTGGTCATATTGGAATGGTCGAGAGAACCTCTTTGTTCCGAGGAGTAGGGACGGACTATGACCGTAGCTACTATCTCGAGCAAATGGAACGGTGGAAGCAAAGCAAATGGGAAGATGTCTGGCAAAAAAAAAAAACATTTTCATTCACATCAAACAACAACATAAAAAACATGAGCCTCGATAATAAGCTGATTTGTAACTATCACTGAACTAGAGCAGTAGAGCAGAATGGCGTAGAGATTTTAAGACGGAAACGAAAAGAATCGATCCCATTCACCGGCACGTGAGCCCGCAGAACTTCTGTTATGGTTATCTGAGTAATCAATAATGATTAACCGCAAAATCTGCTGTGGACGCACGCTTTGGTCAACTCTGATGAGGGTCAACACTTCCGGAGCATTTAGTAGCAATCAGTAGTGGCTGATAGAAGGTGAGTCCGAATATTCCGCTCCACTTCTCCTAAGATTGCCCTTTAATGGGACCTTATATGAACGCAGCATGTAGATCAAGAAGGAATACTGGCGCAAAATCAATGCAGCTGGGTAGGCGGATGAGTTGCATCGTGGACATCAGCAGAAAGAGGAATCCACTCAAAAAACGTAGAGCTGGACGCCAAATTCAGTTGAGCTCCCGAGGACGAAACAAAACCTCCTCCCTTCGAATTGTCGGGTGATAAAGATAAGATTTGGTGAGTCACTGCCCGATTATTGCTCTCTAACTTTCACATTCAGAAGGTAGTTCTTCTAAAGGTATTACTAACCATAGTTTTGGGGGTGAAAATGTAGTTGGGGGGTGCCAGCGCCTTTTGTGCTCTACGTCCCTGACACTGGCGGCAGAGTACATACAGATCGCAGAGATGGATTCTTCCACTTCTAAAGGTTAGGGAAGGAGCTTCGGGGTGGGAGAGATGATTATCTCGTGCAAAAAGCTGGGATGGGATAAAAATCGAGCATCCAATTGGTTTATCCACCCCGGAGCTCCTTCCCTAACTTTTAGAAGGGGAGGAGCTCCGGGATGGGTGAGATGATTAGATGGTGTAAGAAATGAAGAGACGCAGAGCACAAAAGGGCGTTGGCACCCCCCCCCCCCCCCNCCCCCCCCCCCCCCCCAACTACATTTTCACCGTTTTGGGACATCTAGTGTTCAAAGAATAACGAGAAAGTTGGCGTGTCCAGAGAAAAATATAAAAAAGATATAAGGCTTCAGAGACGTTGTAAATTGGGGGTTGGACGAGCATGAGACGACAAGGTGGGGGTAACTGGACGAGCTGTGTAGATATGTGTGTGTCATTGCGGACAACTAGCTACAATAAGCTGCCCGCGCGCAACGTGTGCATCCTGGGGTGAATGGTGCGAGATCTACAGCCGCAACAACGCCGCGAGAACTCGTCCACATCTGAGGGTGGACGTCAGCGAAGCCATTTCGGTACCATTTTGAGCCCTATTCAGGCCGCATTTAACCCGACAGCGTCTCTTGTGCTGTCCTTGGAGGTCACATCTTTATCCTAAGAAGAAATCTCGTAAAACATTTTCACCGTGATTTGTGCCTTTAGTAGGCAGTCCGAAAATAATGATTCTAAGGGAGTGGAAGACTGAAAGATGGTTCGAAAGAGGTCTGAAAGAATGCAAGATTCAAAGAACAAAGTATAGTCACGGCTAAACCTCCGTTCACTACCTGATTTACTTTGTGTGAAGCTCAACATAATCATTTATTGCAGATTCCAAAACCAGTAGGATCAGTACATCTCAAAGTCCAGCTACTACTAATCAGGCTACAGTCGTTCCAACCAGAGAGCACAATTAATAAGTCATTAGATGTAGGTAAATTCTTTCGGAATTGTTCCGTATATCTGTAGTAAGACGAAGACGATGGAAACTAGGTCTATATCTTATTAAATATATTATATCGTGGAATAATCTATCACATTACGTCGTGACGTCATCTTTACATATTCGTCGGTGTTTTTTGAATCGGAGTGAGCTTCGTCGGTGGTTTTTGAATTGGAGAGGGCTTCGTCGGTGGTTTTTGAGCTGGAGTGGTACTCGTCAGTGGTTTTTGAAGTGGAGTGGGATTTAGTTGATTAGGCCCTCGTGGAACCGGTCGATCGATTGCTTGAGGTTGGATCGGAGTATGTGGTAGGTTTTTTGGTGGTGGCTAAACATGAACGTTAACACGGGTGAAGGCTGAATGAGAATCAAGTAAGCTTTCATTATGGATGGACCTACCTTGACAGTGGATTCTTTGCTGGCAATTGTATCCGCGTCCGTAGTACCACCATCACCCTGAAAGAGAAATTCTAAAATCAAGAATAAATGACAACATATATAACTACAGAGGGCAGATTAAAGTCGTTTGACGTCTCCCATAATGCTTGGCGTACTCGGTCAGTGCGAAGAACCGCGGAATCTTCTGATTGCGTTTATGATGGAAGAAAAGAATGGAAGAAATCGTGAGGATCAGCGTATGGAGTTTGACGGGTATTTGACGACAAAAGTTGCATAGAAGGTATATTCGGACAAGCTTTCCAACTGTGTTTGCCATTGTGTACAACTGGCTACAGTAATCTACCTGCGTGCAATGTGTGCGTCCTAGGGCGAATGGTGTAACCTCTACATCCTTTGCGACGCCGTAATAACTCGTCCGCCTTTGGAAGTGGACGTCAGCAAAGCTGACTTGGGGACCATTTTGGGCCCTATTCAAACCGTTTTTCATTCCGTTCCTTGTTCTATCTTTGGAGGTCAGAGGTTCATCCACGGAAAAACCTACGAGAATAATTTTGATCGCAAACTATGCCTTCAAAGACGAATGCTTCACTGTTTCGAGGTATAACAAGGACAATACTGGTGGAAAACCTTTTGATTAGTTGAGAATATTTATCTGCAGTGGACGTGAAATATATTCTGTTGCCTCATTATTACAAGCGGATCAAATCAAATCCTTTTTCCTTCTAATGGCCAGTTGGTCACAACTCATTTCAGTCCACGCTTAAAGGCACGGTTCACGATTAAAATGGTTACTTAGTTCTTCCCTTAGGAATACTCAGTGGCCTTCATGGGTGGTACAAGGGTCCCTCTCGCTCCCATAATCTCGACGGTCAGGGCATAGTGGAAGCCCTGTTGCTGCCTTGATTCGCTTTCCAGCCTCTTGATCGATGTTACGATAGACGAGTGTCGAGGCAATACAGATTGCGAAAATTCGTTCTAGGACCCACACACAATCATTTGATCGCCGAGTGATGGGGCGATGTTTTTCTCCCATCCTTTTTTCATCCGTTATTCTTTTTACTGCCGCGATCCCTTTTTTTAATTTCCTACCCCAAAAGGCTGAAAAAGGTTATCCATTTTTGCTGTGACTAGGTTTTTTTGTTTACTTATGCTTATAAACGGATAAATTTTTGCTTACCGTAGTCAGATATTTGCACCAGGCCACACGTATGTACGCAATGACGCGCTGCGCGTACGTAGCTCGCCCAAAGGCCAGTCTCTTCTTCATTATGCTGTTCTCATTCTCGTCCAGCCCCCTTCTTAACAATTTTTCGAAGCTGTTTTTCACATTGGAAACACCGATCCACGAAGTTCCTTCGCACTATTTTCCATCTTATCTTCCATTTTTCGTCATACTCTGGGTTACCCAAAATTGTGCTTTCAACTCAGGGAAGAAGGACTTTACTCAGAGTAGTTATAAAGTTATATCACAGTATTTGAGCCGTCACCAAACATTGAACCATTTCCCTTCCCTCTTTTTCATCTATGACCAAACATCGTGGGCCACGGCCTTCATTGTGTAAAAGAATCATCTTCTCTCATTCAAGTTTCGAGAAGAGTGATAACAAACCTCGACCACTTCTACGTTTGACCCGATTTCAACGAGTTCGTTCTGACGAGCATCAAATTCCACACCCTTCAGTATTGTAGAAATTTCGTTGTCGAGAGCATGTTTCTGAAGTTGAAGGATTGAAGAACAAACAATAGCGAGTGTGTTCGAGCACTAAGAGATGCTAGGAACGGTGTACAAATTATTAAGTTTATCTGTAAGATAAAAAGGAATCAGCTCAAACTGAGATGGGCATAGGTTTTCGTTGAGGAAGGGATAAAAGAAATCTTTTTCATGTCAATCAACTACGTTTTCGGGATGCGCTCCAGCATCGACTCGACTTCCATTCACAATCGAAGTAGCGTAATGAATGTCAAGTGGTCAATAAAATGGCATAATAGAATGACTTGCGTAGCCAGTCGATGTACAAGTCAGAGTGGATTCTGATAGCAATTAATCGACTTCGGAAGGATGGGAGATTCTACTGGCCCAGGCGGATATTGACCTGAGATGGGGCCTCCAGGTTACAGTGATAACAGTGCGCCACTTGCAGCTACACCACCTCTGCCCTCGTTGAGGAGAACTAGGAAAGTCTAGGATTCTAATCTATGAGTTGCCATGAGTTAGTAGTTCATTTACACAATTATAATCTCCTGTAAGTCAAGTTAGACATGAATCATTGGGTTCTCAATGTTGAAGTCATTAAGATCACTATTCTTCTCATTTGAGAACCTTTCTTGGCCGATCTGATATTGGCTGGAATCACTTATCTGGGGATTGAGTGGACATGAGAAAATGCACAATTTCAAGTCAGAAGACAACCTAAATATATAATTTATCGCATAAACGGACTAGTGAAGGCGGAGGTGGTGTAGGGTAAGAGGCGCACTATAACACAGGCATGGTTACGAGTCAGAATTAGAGATTAATATCCGCCTAGGCCAACCGAGCCTTCCATCCCTCCGGGGCCGGTTATTTGGTACCAGGCTGTCTGAGAGGACGGAAGCACTGGCTTGTACACCGACTGGCCACCGCAAGTCATTGTATAAGCCCCATACGCATTCCATAAGCCACTGAGATTCTGAATAGAAGTCGAAAGTGTAGGCACATCTCTCAGACGGTATTAATAGGACCTCAAGAGTATACCTTCACTTCAAACCAACTCGTATTTAGGGTGAGATGAAAGACGAGGCGAGCTACGATAAGGGAAAAAACAAGTTTAATCATTTGAAAGAAGAAAAAACAATGCTGTTTTGGATTTTCTGAAATGTCTAATAGGGTCATTCCTCCGATCAATGACTACTTGGACTCAATTTGACCAAATTAATGGTAATGGAGCGGTGTTGAACAGGTTTTTCTGAGCTTCCCAAGAAGAGCCGCTCTGTGATGGAGTAATCCAGTTTGTCTATATCAACGTTGAATTTCGGTGGAACCCTCCCGAAGTTATGGGTGGAAAAAAACATGAAGGCGCCCACTCCACCATTGATCAGCTTGTGCAAAAGCAACCAAATTACTCGGCACTTTGGGATGTCTACATCAGCAAGGTTTTCATTATTATATACTGCGACAACAACGACGACGACGACGTGAGAAGGAACTTTTACACACAATATTTGAAGCTTTCCCATAAATATTTAGGACACTGTACTTATAAGGATTAGATATAGGGCATCCTACTCTAGATTTAATCTGTGGAACAGCTTTTGCAGCTGAGTAGGGTTATGGAACCCTTTGCAATTCGATTTTGAAGCACCCCAGACATCGGAGAAAAATAGGCATGGATGAGAAGCGAGTTATCAGGAATGGAGAGAATCCGCTTGAAGATCAAAAAAAAAATGTAGAATTTATGAAATCCGAAGTGTTCGAGCACAATAAACTATGCGTAGAGGATTGAATATTCTCACAGGGCGGGACTTGATTCGAAGTGGGCGGAGCTGAGATCAGCCATTACGACTGAGAAAATTTAGGGGTTCGAAAAAAGTGGCTAGATGAAAAGTCGTGGTGGACGCGGTGTGTGCAGTGGCGACAGCAGCTTATGTGAAAAATTTATAGCCCTGATCAGAAAATGCCCTTGAATTAGAAAAAAAATAAAATGGAGCTTATAGGAAGCATATGGAACGGGTACAGAGACCGACGAACTTGCAAACTCACAATGCATCAAACAAACCAAACAGACGATGACAAACCTTCAAAAAAAAAAACATCCAGAACACGTTACTGCTCCATACATAAAAAAGACACTACATGAAAACAGAAAGGAACATACCACTGGACCTTGTAGCTTTCGGTTCATCACCAGCGGTCCCGCTGTCTGGAACTTAACTCGGTTCAAATCTTCGCTCTCCATCTTACGAGGTTGTTTAGCCTGAAATGTCAAACCGGTTGAGGTAGGAAAAATACGTGAAAATTTTTAGATAAATCCATTCGATAAAGTGCAAGAGCTATACCTTAGCGGTAGTCTGGAACTGCTGTACAATAGAGTAAAGCCGATGTTAAATGCCTCTGGGGGTTCATCAATCCAGTCTGACTGTAGGATGTGCACCCAGGCATTCGACTTCCATTCAGAAACCTAGTGGCGCATCGAATGCATATATGGCCTATACAATGACGCGGTAGCAGGCTCAGTGCTCTTAAGCTCCCGGATGGATCTGATATCAATTAATCGGCCCACTCTAGGGGTCGAAAGGCCTGACTGGCTTAGGTAGAGATCGACCCGGGATTCGAACCCGTAGTCATACGCATGCGATAGCGCGCCACTTGCAACTACATCACCCCAACCTAACGATGGCAAACTTTTTGATTTTCAATGGAATTCTTTGATAATAGCTCATTGCCGATATTTGATCACAAACAAAAGATGGAACAGTTGAAGTGAAACGAACCGCTACGGGTGTTGATTTAGGTTTTTGTTTCGCACGTCCTGAAAAATAAATCCCCAAAAGTGGTGTATCAAACGCATGAAAGCAGAGCGCTCATGTTGGGACTCACTCCTTTTGGTCACGACTATAATCGCTATCAGAACTAAAACCAGAACCAGGGCAATTGCCACAACTAAAGCTCCAATTGAAACAATTATCCTGAAACCGGTACATAACCAGAACTTATATAAATATAAATATGTAACTAAATAAATATATGCATATATATTACCAGGTCCGAAGAACGTCAGAGTTAATGATACCTGATAACTTCAATAATGATCATATCTACTTGTATAAAAATTGGAAGGAATGAGGAGGTTGTATGTGAATACCAAACAAATCCAGTGAGTGACCTACCTAGAGTTCGCTAGAGAACTCTACATGATTTTTATTTTTTGGAGTTCTAGTCTGAACGAGAAAATCCTGCTGTCTCGGGTTGAAGGCATAATGGACTGAGCGCTCTCCCATCCCATATAATAGTGAAGACCAGTCCACTGTGAACACACACTTTACTATAAAAATAGTTTCTGAGGTTCCTCCTTAGGATGAACCTGCGATTTCCGAAAATAGTGCAAGGTGCGTTATCGGGTCGAAAAACAGTGGGTTAAAAGGCTCCAAAAATCGGCTTAGCCAGCGTTCATATCAAGAGGCGGACGAGTTTTCACGGCATTGTAGAGACTGTGAAGGTTGCATCGTTTGCACCGGGATGTACGCACAACTGAGTGTAGCCAGCTGTACGCAATGACACACATTTGAACAGCTCGTCAGAACAACACTTCCACGCCATTTTTATCGTCACATTCCCGTCCAACCCCCAATTTTAATAGTCAATCAATATATCAATGCCCCAGAATAATCGTGAGCTGTTGTTCACTACGACATTCTTTACGAGAAACTACATCGTCTAGAAGGTTTTCCTGACAATTCGCAAGAAGAGCGTTCATGATCAGTAGCTCCTATTTCACATGAACAACAATCACCGACATAACCGTCTTTTAGGTTATATAAATGCGGACCAGGAACCAAGCTTCGAATGGAATTCAGTTGTCCCGGAAGCCGCAACTGTTTCAACCTGGTTATTTGTAAAGTTCGATGATGATATGCTCACCCATGGACGAAAACGATGTTCGCTATTATTTACCAAGGTACATGAAGTACTTCATTGAAGTGGTTCTGCCAGCATGAAATTGTCAAACAAAACTTACATTAAAGGTTCTCGAGTTTTGGATTTCTTCTTATTTTTGCGCATAGCAATTTTCCTTGAGTCTCCACCCACATATCTAAACATCCAGAGAATTTCTGACTTTTTTTTTTCTGACTCAAGCTTGACTCTAGTTAAGTGGATTTTGGTGTGCTTAATTTCGTAAAGGGAAAATAAAATTTCAAATCACAATATCATAAAGAAAAGAGTTAGCAGAATCACTTTGTATTATATTTCTCATCAGTCTCAATGAGAGGATTAGCGGTAGTATCATCAAAAACTTCTGACGAGCCATGGGGTCTGAAATTAGCGTTATAAAAGATGGACGGTGAGCACTGATGGTAAAACATGCTAGATTTTAATTGAGGATACCAGTCTGATCGTCGGGCTCAACAACTTGTTTTTAAAGTTGACCCTCCGCCTTAATTCTCCCAAGTTTGAAGATCTGGTCAAGGAGAACAGGAGCTATCGATTTCCAGCGAAAACGCAAACGCAATGTCCATACATACACACACGCGCACAGCCTACATGGAACATGATACGTAGTGCTGAAGAAAGTGTACGTCTAGATTATGCGAGATTATGCGAAAAATTCCAGAGAGAACAACTCCCAGGCAGATGCAACAGCTGGTCCCACGCAGTGTTAACAGAAAATAACGTCCAACGAACAATAAGACAAGTAAAAAATTGGAGTAGCAGTTCATTCAGATGGGGCACCAATTAAAACATGGAAGGCGCTGGGGGAAAACAGGATCAGGTGGCTCACGCGAACCTTGAGCTCTGTAATTCCTCAGAGAATAATGTCAGAGGAGTGGAGGAGCAGTGTCATCGTCCTCATTTCAATCAAAGCGGAGATGCGATGGAGTGTTTTTACTACCATGAGATCGCGTTGACTGAGCATACTGTACGAACGAGTCGACTCTCACATTTTAGAACTCGGTCCGATCTCAAAGGAGCAATTAGACTTCAAGCAGGTAAGGTCCACAACGGATGCTAACTTCATTGGTAGACAAGTAGTGGAGAGGTATCAAGATAAGCGTGCACCCCGCCACCTAGACTTCCTCGATTTGGAGAAAACTTTCGAATGCTTCAGTATCCCCATCAGTAAGCTTTTCAAGCGCACGCCTTTGCCAATTTTCACGACTTTCACGCTGGCACCGTCGACCAATGTCAACTTGACATCAGGTGCGATCTTCTCAATGAACATCATTTTGGTGTCTTTGAAACCTGCTGACTGGCTGACATGTTCTTATAGCTACTTTTTCGAGAGGAATTGATTCTTGGTGCTCCAAACAGTACGCGACCGTTTTATTTGTCGAGGATTGGCTTTTTCGTGAAAACCTTTTCCCAGAGAAAACGTAAGAGATGCGCGCTTCCCCTCAAGTGAGTTAGCAATCTTCTGCACTTCTCGGCCCTACACTATCTGTCAAGATCAATAACGAATGCATCTTGCATATGATAAAGATAGCAATAAAGCTTGTGCCTGACAAACCGCCCCAATAAGTTCTGCTCCATTGCCGTCTTTTTGATTGGTCACCCAGGATCGAGTTCGACTGACGGCCTATTTCAGTAGTCCTGTCTTTGGAAACAGAACTTTCTACCCCTTTTGGCCATGCCTTCGATTTATTCTGCTTATCTGTATCGTTTAATAACTTCTGTACGGTCACTGTTAGAAACACAAACAGTCTCACCATGTTCTTCAGTCTCCTCCATGCAAATGTCATTAAGCGACTCTTTTCACCCGTAAGTTACTGGGAGTCTAATTTCAGCAGCTATGCGTACTACAAAAACCTGCTAGGAAATCTAAATATTATGCAACTGATCAAGAGCGAGGTGAAACCGATGAATTATTTTTGCCTTTGAAGTTTTTGGGTGTAGCCGCTTATGACTCAGGAGCATCCTGTAGAAGGTACATATGCGGTATTATGAGCTCCAGCAACTTTCAAAATCTAGGCGGCACAATTGAGCACTAGGACCATCAGATAGGCTCAGAGCGTTTGCAGCAAAAGAAGCCATCGGCTTGTGACGAACCACTCTTTTGAGGAATTTGAAACTGTGTATGAAAAAGATGGGTTGAGCGACACAAAAAAATCCTCTGATTCTGATATCTCGGAAATTCGAAGAAGGAAAATAAAAGGGAAATAACCATCTCACTCTGTTTCAAATGGAATCGTTATCACCCCTTCGTCAGTAGAAGGATAAATAGAAGTTGCATGACCTCCCGACTTTGTTGTAAGCCTGAAATTGATGGTATGAGAGGTCACAACAATAAACCGAGCTTGACTGCGACTTGTAAAATTTTTGGCCGTATTTATTAAAATGTCAGTTTGCTTACTCTACAGTCAATCATTCACCCTGCATACATTACCTATCGCATAGAGTGGAGGGCCTTGGAGGCACTTCCGCGATAATTTGCAGTGATAGTGCAAAAGGGGTAGAAATTGCGAAAATCGACGAATTCTGAGATATAGAGGGCTTCAAAAAAGTATCAAAATTAGGGGTTAGACGGGAATGTGACGACAAAAGTTGCATAGAATAGATAACAAAGGGGCTATCACATCCTACTTATATAATCGGCTAAGTGTGTCTGTTGGTGTGTGTGTATGTGTATGTGTATGTGTATGTGCATGTGTATGTGCATGTGTA